AACCAGGACTCGAACCTGGCTTCGCGCACTTGCAACACTTCGTCTTTACCACTAGACCATCTCGCCTGCACTTGCTTTAACTTCTTTTTTATTCCACTTAACTCTTTCTCGTCTCGGGTGGAATTAATTAACAACGACGCCCGACATTAAAATGCTCTTGACACAACCAGGACTCGAACCTGGCTTCGCGCACTTGCAACACTTCGTCTTTACCACTAGACCATCTCGCCTGCACTTGCTTTAACTTCTTTTTTATTCCACTTAACTCTTTCTCCTCTCGGGTGGAATTAATTAACAACGACGCCCGATGCTAAAATGCCCTTGGCGCAACCGGGACTCGAACCTGGCACCAGGCACTTGCGACACTTCGTCTTTACCACTAGACCATCTCGCTTGCACTTACTTTGCCTTCCTTTTTATTCTACTTAACTCTTTCTCGTCGCGGGTGGAATTAATTAAGGACGGCGCCCGGCATTAAAATGCTTTGGACACAACCAAGAATCGAACCTGGCTGTACACACTTACAACACCAGAAGATTACCACTCGACCAGTAGATCTAACCGGAGGTTCTAACTATACTTATGGGGGACCGCAGGAAATTTTTGAAAAATTCAAAAACACTTACAAAACCCCTCAAACTAGTTCAAACTTTCTGAAAGTTGTTGAGAACCATTCCTGTCACAAAACAATTACTTTCGATCGATTGATAAAAAAATGTTTAAAAAAATTTTGGTCAAAGGGGGAACACAGAGTATCTAGGCTTAGCAAATGGGGACCGCAGGAAATTTTTAAAAATTCAAAAACACTTGCAAAACCCCTCAAACTAGTTCAAACTTTCTGAAAGTTGTTGAGAACCATTCCTGTCACAAAACAATTACTTTTGATCGATAAAAAATGTTTTAACAAATTTTGGTCAAAAGGGGGTGGGGGACATAGAATATCCTAGGCTTAGTAAAGGGGGGACCACAAGAAATTTTTCAAAAATTCAAAAACGCTTACAAAAAACCCCTCAAACTAGTTCAAACTTTCGGAAAGTTGTTGAGAACCATTCCTGTCACAAAACAATTACTTTCGATCGATCGATAAAAAAAAGTTTTAAAACATTTTGGTCAAAAAGGGGAACACAGAGTATCCTAGGCTTAGCAAATGGGGGACCGCAGGAAATTTTTGAAAAATTCAAAAACACTTACAAAACCCCTCAAACTAGTTCAAACTTTCTGAAAGTTGTAGAGAACCATTCCTGTCACAAAACAATTACTTTCGATCGATCGATAAAAAAATGTTTAAAAAAATTTTGGTCAAAGGGGGAACACAGAGTATCCTAGGCATAGCAAATGGGGGACCGCAGGAAATTTTTAAAAAATTCAAAAACACTTACAAAACCCCTCAAACTAGTTCAAACTTTCTGAAAGTTGTTGAGAACCATTCCTGTCACAAAACAATTACTTTCGATCGATAAAAAATGTTTTAACAAATTTTGGTCAAAAGGGGGTGGGGGACATAGAATATCCTAGGCTTTAAGCAAAGGGGGGACCACAAGAAATTTTTCAAAAATTCAAAAACACTTACAAAAAACCCCTCAAACTAGTTCAAACTTTCGGAAAGTTGTTGAGAACCATTCCTGTCACAAAACAATTACTTTCGATCGATCGATCAATAAAAAAAAGTTTTAAAAAATTTTGGTCAAAAAGGGGAACACAGAGTATCCTAGGCTTAGCAAATGGGGGACCGCAGGAAATTTTTGAAAAATTCAAAAACACTTACAAAACCCCTCAAACTTTCAAACTTTCTGAAAGTTGTTCAGAACCATTCCTGTCACAAAACAATTACTTTCGATCGATCGATAAAAAAATGTTTAAAAAAATTTTGGTCAAAGGGGGAACACAGAGTATCCTAGGCTTAGCAAATGGGGGACCGCAGGAAATTTTTAAAAAATTCAAAAACACTTACAAAACCCCTCAAACTAGTTCAAACTTTCTGAAAGTTGTTGAGAACCATTCCTGTCACAAAACAATTACTTTCGATCGATCGATAAAAAAATGTTTAAAAAAATTTTGGTCAAAGGGGGAACACAGAGTATCCTAGGCTTAGCAAATGGGGGACCGCAGGAAATTTTTAAAAAATTCAAAAACACTTACAAAACCCCTCAAACTAGTTCAAACTTTCTGAAAGTTGTTGAGAACCATTCCTGTCACAAAACAATTACTTTCGATCGATAAAAAATGTTTTAACAAATTTTGATCAAAAGGGGGTGGGGGACATAGAATACCCTAGGCTTAGCAAAGGGGGGACCACAAGAAATTTTTCAAAAATTCAAGAACACTTACAAAAAAACCCTCAAACTAGTTCAAACTTTCTGAAAGTTGTTGAGAACCATTCCTGTCACAAAACAATTACTTTCGATCGATAAAAAATGTTTTAACAAATTTTGGTCAAAAGGGGGTGGGGGACATAGAATATCCTAGGCTTAGCAAAGGGGGGACCACAAGAAATTTTTCAAAAATTCAAAAACACTTACAAAACCCCTCAAACTAGTTCAAACTTTCGGAAAGTTGTTGAGAACCATTCCTGTCATAAAAACAATTACTTCCGATCGATCGATAAAAAAATGTTTTAAAAAATTTTGGTCAAAGGGGGAACACAGAGTATCCTAGGCTTAGCAAATGGGGGACCACAGGAAATTTTTAAAAAATTCAAAAACACTTACAAAACCCCTCAAAAAATTTTGGTCAAAAGGAGGGACACAGAGTATCCTAGGCTTAGCAAAGGGGGGAATATGTAAAATAAAATGGGGACCATGTGAATTTTCATATCATTCTTATACAATAGACTGTACAATAAGTTCTTGGTACGTTTGCATGGCGATAAAACATATAATAAGTAACATATAATAGTTTTTGTTTGTGGAAACACCACATAAATTTATTACTTCAAAGCTGATGAGGAGCTTATGGATCGAAATCTTTGCAGTAATAAATTTACATGGTGTTTCCACAAACAAAACTATTAGGCTGTACTTTGTTAACAATGTACAATTAAATTGAAACTGACCTTTCAAGTACTTCATCTGCAAATCCAACAGAACAATTTTACAACATCCAAAAATGACAATTTATGTTGGACTTGATTGGCTTGTACAGTAGACACTGGTATTTTGTTACGTCATACAGTAGTTGAATTGCTGTTGCATGCCTAAAATGAGTAAGATTAACTGATTAACCCATGCATTGAGTGGCAGCACTCTCCCCTTCAGGGATGGATTACAGGGGGTGGGGGGGTGCACCCCCTAGCCCTGGCCAGAGGGGTTGCAGGGGTGGGGGGATGCTATTTTTCATGATAAGCAAAAAATTGTTAGAGGCAAAATGAGATACAGTAATTTGAGTAATAACATGATGATAAGCAAACTGTGAACAATTACAATTCAAATACAGTACTTAGGCAAGCAAGACTTTGCAGAACTTGTGAAGCAAGTTGATGGGCGGGCGGCACACATGACCGCCACAACTTGATCGGCACCAGAGCTGGCAGAGGCACAGAGCACTCCTCCTACGGAGTCCTACCAAATAATACTGGATTCAGCCCTGCTCCCCTTGATGAGTAAACTCGCCTGGTCTATCTGGGTGCATTGCCACTTTTAAAAAGGGTAATAAGCTGCCATGCTTCCAATTTTATTATCGTATTATCATATTTTATTCAGGGAGAATATTGCACAGTCATTAGCGTATGACCAAGATTTTGTTGCCATCCCACTCAATTGAATAATTATTATAGTCAAAGGATCTGGTACGTAAGATGGAAATTATCAAGTGGAAATTTATATCTATTCATTAGACCTAAGGATGAATACATGTGAGGTCTGACTATAGGTCTGACTGTGGCCCTGCCAAGGTTCAAAATAGCGGGCTGCCAATGGCCAAAAGCAGACAAAAACAAATTTAAAGTTAAAAAAGTGGCAGGTATAGAATGATATATTTCATTTCATTTGCTTACCATATATATTATTATTGTTACATAGTTAGTGTCAAAGTTCTTTCTATTTGCCAATTGGTCAAAACCGTGTCATGTGCCAGACCACAAAATGTCATGTTTGGCAACCGGTCCACAATCAAACATTTATTGGCCGGTCAATAATAAAATGGTTGCAATACGCATGTGTGTCAACCATGAAGTTCCAAAGTTCATTTTTTAAACTTTTTACTAAACATTTTTGGTTTCAAATTAAGTTCACTTCAATAACCGGCGAATTATTCATACTTTGACCCTTATATACTATATAACAAAACACTTATTTACTGAGACATCGGCTTTGCCTCGGGCAACAGCGGGTCTCGGGTCCACAAAACACACTGTTTCCCTCGGTCTCAGTAAATAAGTGATAATTATACTACTCTAGATCCTTTAACCCATTAAGCGCCAGCGTTCTCCCCTTGACGAGTAAAATCGTCTGGCGTTAGACAGAGTAAAATACTCTGGCGTTAGACAGAGTAAAATACTAAAGTAGGGTGCATCAGGGTGCAATGCGACTCAATGGGTTAATTGACTAAACACATTCGTATTTGAAATGTAAATCCATTAGTTTACTGTAGTTTAATAGACAAGTTTAAAAATTATAAAAATGTACATCATGAAAACATTGATTTTTACAATATGACTCATATGAAACATCGTCATTTTGGCAGTTCAAATTTATATTTTTTGCACAAAGCGACCTTTATCCTTTGTTGGTATGACTTATTACGTCAGCAAGATGTGGCAAAATGGATGCTGTCCTTTGTCAAGGTCAAGGAAAAAGGTTGCTTCATGTGAAAAAATTTGCTAGTGGAAAACTGGCTTTACACAGTGTGAAATAAAAAAAGTAGTGCTGATCAGGATGCATATATTGCTCAGTTAAAGGGTTACCATTGAGTGGCAGTACTCTCCACTCGATGAGTAAAATCATCTGGCACTAGACAGTCAGTAAAATACTAAAGTAGGGTGCATCAGGGTGCATTAATGCCATGAAAGTGTTTTAAAACACATTTAAAAAAAGTGAATTGAACATTAATTATATTACAATATAAGATCGCAGTTATTCGCTTACATAATTATCTCAGTGTGTAATTCATATTACTTATAATATCATGTACAGGTGATTAGTGTATTGAATGAGACAATGTAAATATGTATTAATTGGTTAATAATTTATTATTTAGAAGTGTATAGAATACGGTTTATACGTCCAGTTTTGGAACTTATATGGCGTTGTAGAATGCAAAAATTAAGCAAAATTTGAATCTTAGAGGCATAGTAGATGAATGTTCACAGTCTTCATTTGACGATGAATTTAGACATAATTAATTAACACAGTGGCATAGCCAGAACAATAATTGGGGG